GTGTTGCCCGCATTATGTCCAGTGGCACATGAAAATTTGCACAGTGTAGGCGTCTTATAGATGCCAAAGCAGTGGAAAAACCATGCAGACTTTTCACTTTTTTTTAGCTTCTTTCATTCTTCTTCTTTTCATTTTCGTATATATTTCAAAAATAGAAATGAACTCAGTTCGTTAAACTTTTGGTCGGAAAATCATGCTGCGACTGCAGCGTGCTTCGATTATATCTACCGCTACTTCGACTTTGTCTTCTTCTTCTTCATGATCACAAAACACACCCCCCACTTGTAATTGACCCCTTTTTTTCTAGTTGAGAGCGAACTGATCTTAAGTGCCATCGATTTAATGATATTTTTAAATATAATTGCTTTAAGTGCACACGCATTAACTAACGCATGATTAATCGAACGTTTTTCGTTTTCAGTTTTCAAGTGGAAAACGTGTTTTTCCACGTTTTTCCTTGCGGCGATTATGTAATCCATTTTTTAATTGCGTTTGTGTGAGTGTGTTTGCGTTTGTAGATGAGAAATTGAATAAATTAACGAACCATTCAGTAAACTAAAACACGTTATTCGATTTAGTTAAGGAACACAGCGCACAGATATCGGCTTTGATTAGAATTCAATATGTATATATAACTATCTATATATATGCACTCGGTATATATAGGCGTATATATGTATATGTACGTGTGTATATACTGTGTGTGTGTGCTGTGACAAAAACTTTCGTTTTATGTTGAGGAAAATCCGAGAACAACACTCGACGAGCACGAAACACTAACTGAAACATCGATCTTTGTTCTCGAAGGGGAAATTGAGGAAATCATCTTCAGGCGAGTCGTAGTCTTCGGCACTCGCCGAACTTTTCACGATTTGCAGGCTGCTTCTCACCCGACGCCGGCTGAGGCAACTGCGCATGCTTCAAGGGAAAAGCCATTTTCTCAATTTTTCATTCTGTTGACACATCATATTCTAAACAAAAACGAACACACAAAGAAGAATCAACGATAAAATTTGGCGCGATATCACATGTGCTTGGGGGGAATCAAATATTTATGCATATACATATATTCCACATTGTTCTTTTGGAAGCTCTAAAATAAAAGGTTATAAGTGTTGTTATTTTTGTATATTTTTTATTTAGGTAAATATTCTCATTAATTCTATATACATGGGAAGAATATATCCTATTGGAAGATCGAGTTCCAATTAGATTTTTTTTGACATGCTGCCTTTGTACTGTACCAAGACGAAATGCGTTTGAGGAAAAGCTTTTCTAAACTTTTTAAAATATTTCTATTTAGTAGTACAAACTTACCGTTAGATCCTAACATTCATAAATAAACCGCCGAATAGTAAGCAGAAAATGTTGAGAAGCAATCTAATGTGCATGTTGCACTGTTAAACAATCGAACATAGCTACATATGTTATATCTATATATGTACATAGATAAAGAAAACATAGGATCTAATTAACTGCATTTCTATACAAAGCTCAACTATTTGAACATGACACTGTTAACTTAGCAGACAGCTTTGAAACAACTTGTCAGTGCCTTGCACCGACGAAATTGCTTATCAGAATTTATATCATTTACAGAGCGCACAACATTAACGGCAATCAAAACAAGTTGATTCAAAGCTGTCTGCTAAGTTCAGAATGCATCAAGACCTCGGCAAACAAGTTCTGTTAACTCCAAAATTGAATGAATGCTGTTAAATACAAACTCGTATGGCAAGTAGCATTTGTCAGCCAACAAATCAGAAAGCGCCATCTAGCTTTCAGTGCCAAAAACTGATTTTTAGGTTGGCGCGCATTTAGGTTGGCGCGCATTTGAATTTGAATTTCACTGTACATTTATAGATTGTATTTGAATAAAAACTCAACTTTATTTTTTTTTTTTTTTTTTTATTTGCATTGAACACACAACATGCTTAAAGACTTTATTTATTTATCGTTATCGATTTATTGCATTGTATATCTTGTCAACAATTCAGATTTGTTTTTTTTTTTTTTTTTTTTTTTTTTTTTTTTTTGCATTTTTTGCGCCTTGTGTTATTTAGTACAGTGTTTGTTCTTATTGATGCTTGTTTGTTTGTTTTTGTGTTGTTGCATATGCTTACTAACTAATTAATAATTAAAAATAAGTTTTATGATATTTTGTTGGTTGCTGTTGTTGTTGCTGTTGCTGCGGTTGAATTGAAATACTATTTAAATAATATTGCATTTCGAATTACTATTGTTTTTTTTTTTTTCGACAAAATCATCTACATTTGATTGGCAACATCTTTGGATTAAATGCAATTTACAATTACTTTAAATTGGGGGAAATTTTTGTCATTTGCTTGAATAGTTTTTTATTTATTTTTTATTTTTTAAGTGTTGGTTAAGCGCATTTTGCTCGCATTGAGTTGAAAACTGTAAATATATGATTCTCTATATGTATGTATATGCATATATTTATATATATATATATATCTCTTTTTTTCATATACATAAATTACTTTTTTTACTATAATTATTGTTAGTATATTGCATGTTTAGCATTTAGTTAAAGTTTTTATTTATTTGCCTTGCATAAACTTTGTCTCTGTTTTGTGACACGCAAAAACAGTGTTGTAAATTACAAAAATATATCTCGATTTGTTGCTGTTGCTGTTGCTCCTGTTGTTACTGTTGTTTGCTGCTTTTTGTTGTTGTTGTTGTTGTTGTTTTCGAACTGAAGCAATCAAAAACACAATAATATATATATGTTTTTCTTATAATTGTTTTTGTTTTGTTTTATATCATAAAATTGTTTGTTTATTCTGCTTATTACAATACAAAAGGTACGAAAGGCGCGACAAATTCCGCAAAGCGAAATTTACACTAAAAATTGACTTAATTCTTGAATGTTAAAAGCAATAAAGAAACACAAAATAAAAAACGATTTAAATTGTTAAGTTGAAGAAATTCCAATTCTTAATGTCTACATTGCAGAATCTAGAAAGTGTTTTCATTTTGTATTTAATATTTGTATTTCGTATCTGTTTTGCATTTTCTTTTCATCTTTTTTTTTTTTTTAGTTTTTAGCATAATAGGAAAACTTGAATTGAAAGCGGCAAACTAGCACGAGTATCTGCTTTATAGATTTGCATTATCTTATATATTTATGTATATATATGTATGTATTTATATGTGTTATTGTATTCTATATATGTATTCTCTATTCGGCACGACAGAGCAGCGAGGCAAAGCGAAAGAGCCGCAGCCAACTAAAGAGCTTCGACTCAATCAGATTCTCCTCCGCCGTCGAGGTGGTCATCGAGACCCGGGACATGTTGGATGATTTGCTGGTACGCTTCTGCTGCATGATGCGCGGCGAGCTGAGCTTCATAATCGAGTAAGTCGTCTTGACTGCTTTGGGGGCGCACGCCGCAACGAGGCGTGGCAACGGGCAAACGGAACGAACGGGCTAAACCACAAACGCAAAGAGCTGCAAGAAAGATAGAGAGAGAGAGAGAGAGAGAGAGAGAGAGAGATAGAGAATACGGGATTAGTTTAAGACCAATTCAAGTGTTGTTGTTGCTGTGCTCCGAGTGGCCTGTCAAGTGGGCCTTGAGCAGCATTGAGGAGGAGACAAAAAAAAAAAAAAGAGAGTGTATATGGAGCGTGACATTTGAGCGGCTGTTGGCCCTCAGCACACAAGTGGGCAACTGCTGACAGTGCTGGCACGCACACAGACGCATACAGAGTCCCACGCACACACATACACACACACACACACACGCACACACAAATATGCTAAACTTTGTTTCGGCTTTATTGGCTTTGCTCATATAACCCCTACCCAAAATTACTTTCGCTCCCGTCTCATCCCCATTCAATTGCCATCGCGCTGAATGACCTTGCCCACTCGCGCCGGAATCGGCGTGGCATGCTCCAGTTTGCAGCGTCGAAGCCCAACCCAACCTAACTCAACCAAAGTTCGACTCAAATAAGCGCTTCGATGACACATTCAACGCTTCGTTAATTAGATAAGTTTATGGAGGTTTATGTAGGTATGTATGTAAGTGTATCGTGACACGATATTAATGACACTTAGCATAGAAGATTATGCAGAGATATGTGTACTGCTGGACAGGAAACACGACTGAGCTGTGTAAGTAAATATGTCGAGACAATATCATATATCGTAGCAGGAACTATCGTGACACGACATAGGACTTCACATACAATTTTATATAATTATCGTAACACGAATTGTGCATAATTTAACGTAGATAATGTGCATAATTCGTTTTACGAATTACCTCGTAATATAGTTGATTATCTAGAGGGTTGTGTACTTAAAATATATATTTGTAAAGAAATATAAATATCGTGACACGCAATTATTATGTTGAATAAATATGTATCCTATAAAACTCCCATAAGGTAGCTCATAAATAAGTTTATCTAGGATGGGGAACTACAAAGTATTTCTTACAAGCGAATGTCAAAAATGTTTACAAATCAAAACAAAATTTTGTTCAGGCTTTAAGTAATCGAAAATCAAAATGCCTCAGAGAAGTAATAGTGGAAGTAGTAGTCGAAGTAATAGAGGAAGCCGTAGTAGCAGAGCTAAAAGTAAAAGCAATAATAGCAGTAAAAGTGAAAAATCAGAAAAATCAGAAAAACTGCCAAAACGTCAAAACTCTAAAGTTGATGAGGAAGTGACGAAAAAACAAAGCACATACGATAGAAGAAGTTTTGTTTACTGGCCTACATTTTTTTACTGGCCTCCATTGTTTTACTGGACTCCTTTTTATAGAGGTATGTTTGTTGTTAAAGAAGTTGTTATTATTAAAAGTGTAATATTATTGAACTATATTTATATGTCTAGAAATAAAAGCTTTATATTAAACGGCTATAATTAGCAAAAATGTATATATTTCTTATAATATGAATGATTATATGTGGGGAGTATAGAAAGATGTATGAGTGAAAAATACATTCCGACAAGTATAATTATAGCTCATATGCTTTATCTATATATAAATATATTTATATGTCTGCCCCAACTCAAAATTCATTTATATTCCCGCTAATTGCCTAAATATTCGGGCAAGCACACATTTCGACGTCATTTGCAATTATGCAATGCAATCGACACAATCACACCAACAGTTCGCCCATTTCCACTCGCCACTTCCCCAGTTTTCCATGAAAAACACTTCGAGCTCCCTCTAGCTGCCCACGCCGAGTGTCGGCGGCGCAGCAAATTAATTTCAATTCTCATTTAAGTTTTACAATCTCAGCGCTTTTGTTTCTCTGAGTATGTGTGTGTGTGTGTGTGTTTTGAAAACTGACGACGACAACAACAACTACAACAACAACAGCAGCAGTTGTGAAATATATGTCATGCGAACAACAACAGCAACAACAGCAAATGCAACAGCTGAATGAGTAGACCACGCGACAACACTTTATTTATTTATGTTTTCATTTTTTGTTGTTTTCCATTTTTGTTGTTGTGTGAGCAGCAAAATGAGATTATATTTTGTTTTTACTTTTTGTCATGTATTTAAAAAACATGCTGTGGCTGCGCGTTCGGAATACCCTATAGAAAAAAGGGTTAAATCACTTAACTAACTGCGAATAGTCTACATAAATGATA